CTAAAAAAAAAAAAAAGGGAAAAATTATGCATATATAATAGTGACAGATTTTATATATAATAGAAGTAAAAGAACAAATTATATATATACTCACAAGAGAGAATTGAACATCGACGTCATAGTTCCTGCGTTCTCCCTTAATTCTTCTTTCAGCCCTTTCAGCTGCCTCAATCTTTCCTTCTTCAAGACGCCGTCCTTAATCACGCCTTTCCTCGGGCGACCTGGCCGCGACATATCTTCCAGGACCTCAATCTCCTCGGCAGAATAGTACACCGACGCTGCTAGGCCTTGCAGCGTCAGGAAAAAGGTGGTGATGTTTGATTTACATTTCCTTTCAGACACTATAACAAAAAAAAATAGAAGATAATTGAAATAAACTGACACATGTAGCACTGAACAACAAAACACTGCTTCCAAATTCACTCACTATTTTCTGCTGCTGATTGTTGCTCCATTGCAATCACAAGTATACTGACGAGAATCACCAGCCTTCTACATCATAAAGGGATGAAAAATGCCGACCTAAACAATTCTAATGCACGCACACAACAAACAAGAGGTCATTAACTGTAACACGAAAGAAGAAATTCATACCTACCTCAAGAAGATAGCCATAACACTATGAATACATAAACACGCATCACAACATTGTAAATTCATTTTGATGTCATTTCACTATTCTTGTCTTCATATTAGCTACTACAGATAAGCTCAAGGGATATCAATGTCACAATGAATGTAGGTCAGTAAGCGTAAGGACTATAAAAGATAGTCTCAATTTCAAAAAAATTCCAGTCTTATAATCATGTATTTGCGACAACTGGAAATAGTTTCATCGGGACGATGAAAAATCTAAGGGGGGGAGACTGTTACATCCCGGTAACAATTTTCCCTAATTTTTCTTATTCTTATCATTAAAATAAGACATTATATATAATTCTATAATAATTTTACAATACTTAAACTGTATGTCTTATTTTAATGTATTTATTTATGTATATATTGATAGGATAGAGTGTGGAAACGAAATTGATCTCAGAAGAGATATGACATTCGTTTTCACCATATAAGTTCAGAAAGTTGAAAAGCTAAAAATAGGATATATGTAAGCAAAATGTGTAGCAAGTTCGAGCTTGTTTGTTTATACGCGTGAAGAATGTGAAGGTTGTGAAGATCCAAGTGTAATATGATCTTCAAAAACCCATTGTCAGCATATAAAAGAGAGAATTCAGAAAGTAGAAGATTCAATGTCATACATGCGATGTAGATCATTACCATATAAGGAAAGTGATTCTATTTATAGATCACCCCTTCCCCAATAATATGACATTTCTCCCACTAATTAGCATAATCGACTAGTATATAAACAAGAGCTTTTTCCATAAAGCTTGTCAAAAGTTCCGGTGCAATCTCTAACATCGTAGAGCGACCCTTCAGTTTACTTTCGCCCTAATTATTGTATTCTTTCCTGATAGCCAATAGGTGCAAGTTAATTTGACTTTTCACTTAGAACATAGTTCTTTCCTGATAGCCAATAGGTGCAAGAGAAGCAAATTAACACTTAGAATCAATAATTTAATAGAAATAACTGTCGTATTTATAACTATAAATACTAAAGAAATCTTGCATTATCTCTTTTTCTAAATTTGTCAATTTAGTATATGTTGCTTCTCTTACACCTGCTATAAAATTCATTCCTGTCAAAGGTGCGAGTGACGAGAGATAACAATAAAGAATATTGCAATTCTTTAAATAGTTATAAAACAATTTAAGTCGTTAAAGTTACACAAGTGCAACCAAAACGAACTATTTCAAATCAAATCAAAACCAATTATAACGACTAAGCTATAATCATCGATTTATCCGACTTCATTGCTAAAAGTAAGTAAAAGAATTGTAAACTTGTATCATTATTGTATAATCATTACTATATAATTATTATTTAATCAATAAATGTTATAAAAGGGAATATTTGACTTGTTATTGTAACGCAAAACCCGTAGTTTTGACAAGTGACCACGATCCTACATAAAAATAAATATCAGGCTTTACCAACCTGATTAATCAGCCTTATTACCTTCAAGTAAATAAAATTCATTTTTATTTAAAAACCACGCCTAGTTCGGAACGTAACACAGAGATACTAAATTTTTCATAATAGTCGTATGTGCAACGTATTTGCATCGATTAATCTCGATACCATTTAATTCATAGCGAATTTCATCAAATAAGAAACATATTGCATTGCTACTCAAATGCACGTTTTCTGTAACAGCAATACCATCATTTTTAGTCAATTTCCCAAATATGTGCAATGAACTTTTACTCGATAGAATACATAAATCTTGATGTTGAACTGCTATTCGAATTTCATCACTATTGTTAAAAGAGGATGACGCTTACGATTCTCAACATTCTAGCAGCAGTGAATTTTGATGAGTTTGAGATGTAATTCTTTTCCAAGCGATATTGCTTCCATTGCTTTATTATGTTGTTGAGCTTCAACAAGTTGTTCCTTGGCAGTTTTAGCCTGATTTACAGCTTTCACTATACCTGAAGCTCCACCAGTAAGAGCTCCCAAAGCACTAAGTCCAGCAAAAAGGGGAACTAGTGGTAAAATACCACCAACTTTAGAAGGTACAGGTAGAATTCGCGGTGACAAAATTTTTGATTTACAACCAGCATTCTTTATTGCTTCTTTTGCACCAATCAGAGCAGCTTGAATTGATTCTCCAGAATTATGATTGGGTAGCATACTTTTTCTAGCAGCATCAACAACTCTTCTTAATGCTAGTCGCTTTCTCTTACACATGGTTTTTCTTTTCTTCTTCTTCTTCATTGTAGACTTTTTCTTCCTTTTCATTCCCATACCTAATGTTAATTTAGCTTTCATCGTTCCAGATATCGCTAAAGCTGCTGCCTTTTCACTAATACTAGAATCCTTAGATGTAACACGTTGCCACACCTTTTCAGCTCCCTCTTCTTCTGCAACGTTTCTTGCTTTAATGTTTTCTCGAGTTTGCGAATATGCAATATCATGTGCTGTACATGCAGCGTCTAATGGGTTAACACCTTTATCACCACGTGCTAATCTTTTTGTCAACTTTGTACCGGGTCCACAGAATTGGTATCCAGGTAAATGTAATTCAAAAAGTAAACTATTGATAATACGGTTAACTAATCCTCTACCACGAGAAAGATGTTTTTTATCACTTCGATGTAAAATCATTCTACACTCTATGAAGTTTGATATGCAACTGACTGTAAGACTATAAAAGCCTAGTATTTATAGTTTTTAGAGCAGTTACTGTCAAGATGCAGTTCACGAAACAACCTGTAGCACTCCCAATCACAAGTATTGACGTTGAAACTAGTGAGAAAAAAGTTCAACGTCATGGTAGTTTGTTTTCAGAGAGCATCCGATCTGTCTTTTGTGGTCCCTCAAATTGTGGTTAAACAAACGCTTTTCTCTCTTTAATCATACATCGAAATGGTTTAAGTTTTGAAAATATTTACCTATACTCTAAATCTCTGCAGCAGACAAAATATCAATTTTTGGAAAATGTAATTCATGACGTAAATGGAATTGAATACTTTCCATTTAGTGAGCATGAAGAAGTAGTATCTCCAAAAGATGCTAAACCGAACTCAATATTCATCTTTGATGATATTGCTTGTGAAAAGCAAGACAATGTTAGAGCTTTCTTTTGTATGGGTAGACATGTAAATGTTGACAGTTTCTACTTGTGTCAAACATATGCTCGTATTCCAAAGCATCTAGTCAGAGATAATGTAAATTTACTGGTGCTTTTTAGACAAGATGAAAAAAATTTTAAACATGTCTACGAAGATCATGTAAATACAGACATGTCTTATACTCAGTTTCGTGATTTATGTTCAGAATGTTGGAAATCTGATAAATATGGATTTGTCGTTATTGATAAAGATGGGAATTTTAATGAGGGAAGATATAGAAAGGGATTTGATTGCTATATTACACTATAAATATAACTACTTTATTTCATTTTAAATTAGTATAGTTTATGTTATAAGGACGAAAACATGTATCGAAAAGAGCAAGAAACACTTCGTCAAATAGCAAAAGCAAGCGACGCTATTAGACGAAAACATCGCTTACTTAAAATGGGTAAAGAGGCTGCAGAGACATTGTTAAAGGAAACTCTGCAACCAATAGTTACACCTCTTCAAAAGTTGGCAAATGTAACTGAAACTCCTTTCAAAAATGTTAAAATGGAAAAATTCAAGAAAGATGATAATGATTTCTCTTTTTTAACTGCTGCTGACGATGATGAAAAATTTGATAAAACTTTACTAAATTCAACTTTACTTGATAAGAGCAATAACTTTGAAAAAGAAGAAGATTATGAAAAAATTAAAAATAAATTTATTTTTATGTTAGATAAAAATAGAAAACTGTTTTTAGATACGGTTTATGGAGTACGTAAACTTGCCAACGGTTCTTTTATGATTGGTTCACATATTAAGCTTGTTGGAAAGAAAAATTATTTAAAAACTGCTGGGTTACTCGAACTATTATTTAAACAAAAACCAAAAGAAGCTTTAATAAGTTCAGATGATTTTTCAAATTATAAAGAAATTCTCATTGCTACGAATGCACATCAAAAAAATTATAGTCCAAATGAATCTGTCAACATATGTAGAACTTCCAAGTACACTGATGTTGTTGCAAAACTTATCAAAAGTACACCAAAGAAAAGTGGTGGTGGTGGTGTTTCTTTAAAGAAGCATAAAAATATATTACCACAATTTATGATTGCAAAAAGACAATTTAATCCAGACTATATCTATTGGGATGATCCAAATGAACTCGTTGACCGCTTACGACTACTCATAGGATCACAGCAAGCTGGTAATTGAAGTCATAATAATGAGATTATGTCAATTATCGAAGAACTTCGTGAAGCTCGAATTATATGTATATTAAGAGAGAGCATATAGAAAAATTGCTTAGTATTACAATGAGCATTGATGTGTTTGGACATTCTTTAACACGACCTGTTGCAAGTCGTGGACTACCTGGACCTTCTAGTATTGGATTTAAAGTTACTCCAAGTGGAGATTACAATATTGAAGGTAAAATACTTTGTAACAAATTATCCGAAACGAGATAAAAACTATCTTTCAAATTACATCTTCTTTAAGATCAGCCATTGATGATTTGAATATTTTAATACAAGTTGTTGAAGATAGAGTTAACGAAAAACTAAAACAAATTGAATTCCAACAGAATATTATTATCAAGGAAACTACATTTATTCCAAATGATGAATGATAAAAAGTTAACAGTTGTAACTGAACTGCATAAACAAGCGAGAAGGAATTATCCTCGTCGTAAAGTTCAAATGCGTAGCATAGATGAAACCTGGCAAGCAGATTTGGTAGAAATGATACCTTACTCCTATTCCAATAAAGGTTTCAAATACATGCTCACAGTAATAGACATATTTTCCAAATATGCCTGGGCTGTACCTGTAAAAAGTAAAAATGGAAAAGATATTTCTTTAGCCAAGAAATTAATATTAAAAGAAGGTCGTATTCCAAAAAATTTACACACTGATAGAGGCAAGGAATTTTATAACTCTGAATTTCAGAGTTTAATGCAAGAATTCAATATTAATCTCTATTCGACTTATAGTAATTTAAAAGCATCAATTGTTGAAAGGTTTAACCGCACTCTAAAAAATATGATGTGTCCTGAATTCAACTTACAAGGCAATTACAAATGGATTAATCTTTTACCAATTCTCATATCAAAGTACAATAATAAAAAACATCGTACGATTGGTATGAAACCTAAAGATGTCACCGTAGAAGATTCAAGAGAACTGATGAGACGTATCCGTACACTAAGAAAAATTCCACTGAGAAGACAAAAATTTAAAGTTGGAGATAGAGTTCGAGTCAGCAAACATAAAAACATCTTTGAAAAAGGATACACCCCCAACTGGACAACGGAAATATTCACTGTGGATCAAGTTAAACGAACAAAACCAGTTACATACAAACTTACAGATTATGAAAATCACCCAATCGAAGGTAGTTTCTACGAAGAAGAACTATTAAAAGTTAAATATCCAGATGTTTACCTCGTTGAGAAAGTCCTTAAAAGCCGTGGCAACAATGTATATGTAAATTGGCTTGGATTTGATAACTCACACAATAGTTAGATAAAAAAATCTGATATGTAATATTTATAAAAATAGTTAAAATAAAGTTAAATATAGTTTTAAAAATGTTAAAAAATTTAACTAGATTATGGTTCCAATAAATAAACATAATATAAAATGTACAGTATCTTTTATTAAAACACCTTTATCTTCCCAAATCATTATCATCATCATTTATTTACAATTCCATAGCTTCATCATTAATTTGTCTAATTTTACAATGTCCCTATGCAAGGGTATCAGTACTATTGGATAACAGAAATCTTTTATCGTCGTAAGGACTTAAAGATACTTTTGTTTGTTTTAAAGTTTGAACATTGTGAAGTTTCGATCTGATACAATATTGAGTTCGCGATTGCATTTTAACATTTCGTAAACAATATGTGTAGTCATCAAAGGTAATAGTTTTCTTTAAAACCGCAGATTTCACACCTTTTGTTTTTTTAATAAAATCTTGATCTTCCACTCGCACACTGTACATTTTGCTCCGCAAGCCAACAAATTCAGTAACAATTTTTCCGCTGCACTCATCTTTCATTAAACCTAAATTTTTTTTGTTGACTTGCGGAATACCGTAAACGTTATTTACAGGGTAATCGGAAGTGTCGTATTTGTGGATATCTGCTTTCATGTCTGCAAAGATGTCGCAACATTTAATTTCATAAATCAGACTGTCGGTGTCGGTATACAATAACTTACAGATTGTTTTGTCATACTTTTTTAAAATATAATCATAGTGAAAATCGTAGATTAAAGTTTTTGAAACGTCTAAAACGGTTAAGCCAACATATAGTGGCTTGTTCATTAGAACTTCTACTTTTCTAAGTTCCACAGCAACCAAATTTTCATTAAAAATGACCTTGCTGTGGAAATTAGGTTTTGAGATTAAGGCTTTAGCTCCATATCTACCCTCCCACTTTGTCACAAGTTTAATGTCTACATGTTTTCGCACGTTCTCCATTGTTTTTCCGAATACCGCATTGTTCATTAGTTTAAATAAGTTTTTCTCGAATTCATTGTTAGCATGGTATTGAAATCAATGTAGCTTTTTAACCATGTGGATTGATTAAATTTTAAAACGCGATGAATTTTAATTAAAATAAGGCCGTTGGTAATAGCTTGTTTCAATGCTCGGTAATGGAGAACGTGCTTTCTCTTCGGTAGAAGGGTAGTTAGGAGCTTCTCCTCTTTGGACCCTGGTGGCTTCGAGTGTTCAGGGCAAAATGGAAAGTCACTATGTTTATCATGTAATTCCTCAGGGTAATCTAAGTCGACTTCTAAAATGTAACCAATTGGTGCATCATCTGCAACATTAAAATCAAAATTATTGTCAACATTTTCTACCCACTCGAAGCCACCAAAGGGAAGCGACTGAATCATGGCCCAACCATATAGGTTGTTTGCGTCAAAATATACGATATAAGATGTCTTCTCATTTGCATGATATTTCTCCATGTACGGATTATTAGCTTTCGCGTATCGAGTGGTGCATTGACTTACTCCATCTCTTATTCCGCGTTCAATAAACATTACCATGTCGATGTCTGTGAGGAGTTCCAATCTTATATTCGTATACTTTAACATGGCATCCCATGTCAGTCCTGGCGTTGTATAATAATGCGCAGGATCAAGACCGTACGGGAGTAAACACTGATCCCTGAAATTTTCAAAAATATCCGCGAGTATCAATACATCGGTTTGCATGTACAAATACACATAATCACGAAGATTTTGACAGTTGAATTCACTCCATACATTTTGCGCATGTACATAATCATTATCTGAAATATTAGAATCATTCAAAGTGCTATAATAATTTTCTTTTGACGGTAATTAAGTTTCATCGAGTTTTTCCCTCAAGTCAATGTACTCATAGGGAAAAACTCCTTTTCGCGTTAACAATTGAATTTTGTCGTGGCTGTAATTGGAAAAAACTGAATTAACAATTTATATATTCGTTGAGATAGGACGCTAACTTGTGCAATGAAGATGCCATGAATTTAAAGGAATTAATGAATCGAAATTTGATTAAACTATTTTTAATATTTTTTGTAAAGCTGATATACTTTTCTTTGTTTATAGGAAGTAGATCAACTCTACCTTCAAACTCAGTAGCAATAGCTTTAATAATAAAATGAGCGTCATAACCGCTAAGGTTATGAAAAACAACAGGTATGGTCGGTGATTCATGGTAATTAACATTGCAATTTTGATGCGCAGCACCTCGTTACTTCCCTGTTAGATGGTTGTGGTCTCTTACTTTTACTTCACCTTGCACGATTTTCTTTTGACAAATATGACAAGTATTAGCATTTTTAAAATTAACTAATTCTTGTGAGGTTAATGCTTACATGGGTTTAAAATTCTTTAAAATGAGCTCTGCTTTATCTGCTAAATTTTTTAACTCTCTTGAAAACCATTTAGCAGGATCTTCTTCATCTTTTGGGGATGCTTTATATGTGGACAATGAGTCATCAAAGCCACACTTTAAATAATATCCAATACTGAGCGTTTTATGATTTTGTAAAACCTTAGTATTGCATGCTTCTTGTGGTGCTTGCGCAGAAATCAAAAGACTCTCACAATCAGCATAAATGATAAAAGGCACGCGCTCCTTATTTTGATAGTTCTTAAACTCAAAAGTATTTTTACCTGGTTGCGGTAATCTGATCCTTGTATCATTTAAATTTCTGCATGGTTTCTCGTGTTCTGTGAGCTGCAATTTGTCTCTAAAATAATGGAGACAACGATCCCAAATAAACTTTTTATTTTTCTTCTTCGACAGCTGTGATCCAACCAATCTGGATAGATCTTTTATCCAGACATAGTGGTAGTTAAAAGATATGATTGGTAAATCATCTTCCTCTTCTGCGCTAAGACTTTCATCAATGTAATGATCTTCAATGCGTAAAAGATTAATATGATTTACTCTCTTTTGTGATGTAAGATGTAGCGGATTGAAACTAAAATTTTCTTTGTTTTTCGACAAAACATAGAATTGAAACAAGTTTCCAGTTAGAGTCCTTCTCCTGGAATTCTTCGATTCTTTTCAAAGTTATTTGTTTAACATTAACATTGTACCAGTCATCTAACGGGGTTGTTAATAAAATTCCATCTGTTTCCGCGATAAAAGTTTTTAAGTCAGATTGTTCTTCTTTACCATTAATTAAATCTTTTTTAAATTTCGCACCCAACACAGTATAAACTTTTAAAGGACCATACTTGTTTAATGCTTTTTCAATATTTAATTTAAATAAAGCGTAGGCATTATCAAGGAACTCGTTAATATCCTTGTAATCCAAATTTATAATAGCACTGGTTTGCAAACGATTATCAAATGCTTCATCAAAATCCACCCATTTCATTCTAGCATTAGTCACTTGCACACCCGCACCACGTTTCATTAGAGCATCAAAATGGCAACGCAAGTATTCTAATTTTTGATCTAAATTCAAACATCTAGATCTTTGAGAAGTAGTTAAATCTGATCTTCGCAAAAAATTTCTAAAAATATTTTTATACCTTTGATACTTATTTTGACATTCGAATGCGGTAATGAGCTTCTCATCAACCGCCATTGACATTGTAATAATGAGCTGCTGCTCCGCAGATTTAATAAAGTTGTCAGATTCCTGACAAATTTCAATAAATTCATCAATCTCGATTCGTTACCGAGACTTTTTTACCACCTTACATTTAGGCATCTTAAAAGATAAATCTAAAAAAATACCTAAAATAGAAAAAAAACCCACCACCTCCTGAAAAGAAAAAAAAACCTAAAACCAAACTACCCACCACCTAAAATAAAAATAATAAAAGAAAAACAAAATCTGAAATAAAATAGAGAACCTAGAATAGAAAAAAAGCTGGAATGCTGTGGAAGTACTGCGCTAGACCTGTAAACAGAAAGCAGTGATGCTGGTGGCCCAAGCGCTGTGCTATTTACCCTACTACTCAAGCGACGCGCGCAACCAGGTGGGACTGCCGCTGCGCAGTGAAATTGTTTGAAAAAAGAATTTCCATATTGCAAGCAATTTTGAATTCGGCGTGAAAATAAAATAGCGCCATCTAGCGGTGGCAGCTGGAACTAACTCGGTCGGTAATGCAGAACACCAAGCCACTTTAAATTAAACTTTTAAAAATTCAAATTTCCTGCCAAGGGGGTTTGAATTGGCCGGTGGCGCCATCTAGCGGTGGCAGCGAAAACTAACTCGGTCGGTAAAGTAGAACACAAGCCACTTTAAATTAAACTTTTAAAAATTCAAATTTCCCGCCAAGGGGGGTTGAATTGGCAGGTGGCGCCATCTAACGGTGGCAGCCGGAACTAACTCGGTCGGTAAAGTAGATTTCTACATTACCCACCTCGGTCGGTAAGTGAGCCAGAACCCGCCTTGCAACACTACTTGTAAGCTTTCAATTGATAACTTCAGAATCGCAAAAACTTTATTATTTATAAAATATTTTATTTTTTATTAACATTCATTAATTAATTATTATCTCGAAAATAACAAAAAAGGACATGTCAATATTTTGTGTGGTGAAAATACACATTTTTGACTTTCAAAAAATATATATAATTAAAAAAAGACCTAATTTTAAAAAGCTTCAAAAAAACATTTGATTTTCAAATAAAGGATCAAATTTTGAATTTTTTGAAAATTTTTTACACCATTCGAAAAAGCAGGAAAAATCCTTTCGAAAACATAGAAGTCAAATTTTTTTTATCTTTCTGTTTAAAAGTTATAAGTCTTAAAAAATTTACTGTTTAAATTTTTCAAAAAAATCCAACCCCGTCCCTCCCCTACAGTTTTTGAAAAACCTAACAATCCTTGGTGGTTAAAGTACTGACCCCTAGGGCTAAACTATGTGCAAGTTACAGCTTGATCCGATCAACTGTTTTTTCGCTTACAATTAGTTCGCTACAGGAATTTAACCCCTTATATAAGTGGTATCTTAACATGTTTTCTGGAATTTTTTTTTTTTAATTTATGAAATATGTA